TTTCCTACTATATATATATATATATATAAACTATAATAATTTAAAAATACAAAATATAGTAAAAAATGTTCAACTTTATTTAAGTAGTCGAAAAATCTGTGCTAAATTTAATGGTGATCCTACGGATATGGGTGTGGGAGGGTCTTATAAGGTTATTTCCCTATATATATATACTATAATAATTTAAAAATATATAATATAGTAAAAAATGTTCAACTTTATTTAAGTGATCGAAAAGGTCAAAGTATGTTGGTCGGACCGGTCAACATTAATTTTAATCAATTTTCAACCAAATTGGGTTTTTATCATTAATTTTAACTAATTTTCAACCAAAATTTTTATTTAGAACCAAACAACCAAGACACTGATTGACAATCCGATCGGTTGGACCACTGGGTCCGTCCGATCTTGACTTTGATGAGAGAGAGATCCTACTTACTTTGATGAGAGGGAGTTTTTCATTATTGTGAGTTTGAACTTTGAAGATAGAGAGGTTGGCAACCTAGGCTTTTTCGATTACCCCTTGTTGGCAAATCAGAATAACACAAATCTCTATTTGATGTGGTGAGCAACCCACAACAATGAATCCAACAACTCAAAGAAAGGCCTTCCAAAAACAATAATGTTTGTACAATATATTTGAAAAAATTATAGAATCAAGAAACAAGTAATATAAAAAAATCATTATAACCATAGCACAAGCAAAAAGTTGAATACATGCAGATTAACGTCGTTCATCCAAAATGAGCTATGTCAATAGGCAAGAGGACAATAATGCATTCGCTATCTCAATGAAGAAATTTACATGCTTAAGGTTTTGTACACATTATCTCATACATAAAAAAAAAAAGCTCAATAGACATATCTTACCATAACTTCCAATTTCTACCTCTCAAAGCTTTTCTACACTTTTCTTTCTTTTGCTTTCTTTCTTTATGTTTTCTCTCTCTAAAAATATATTTTATATACTTTCATAAAAGACTTATTTCTATGATGAAAATACCTTTTAACAAAGAGAAAATACAAAATAGGGTGAGTTGCATCATGATCCCAACAAGAGAGAGATTATGATTATGATTGCTTCCTCTTTGATAACAAGAGAAAAGGAGTTCGTAATTGATAAATACCTCCACAAAATACATAAAGGAAAATGTTTTGATAACGTTGTAGCCCCATCAAAATAAGTCGAGTGGAAGCGCTCATCACCGTTGATTAATTTGGATGGTGAGGATTTTACGAAATAGACAGAAAACTAGCATTGTCCGTATATTTGGACGGTACAGATCTCGCACCCTCCCCAATGAGAGTAACCAGGGTTCCCATGCCCTCACTTGCCTTCTTTTCATTCTCTCCGCTCTACTTTTAGGCCACAACATAAACAGGGTCGGAGCCCTTCACCTATTACCCTGCTACAAAACTCTTCCTACGCAGCTGGTTACTTATCTCTGAAAAAGAAGTATTCAGATTCTCAAAGAACACAACTGAATATGTGACATGGTATTGGCTGTAACCTTTGTTCAATAAATTACATTTAGGATCAGCCGTTGCAAGCTCAATGGAAAGAACCCCCAATTGAAATGAGATAGAATAATAGAGTATGGAGGCCTATTGCCTTAGTCTTCATCTTGAAGTTGCAAAGAAGTTCTTTGAGTCTACGATAACAATTTAAAAATAACTAAGATTCAAGGATTTACGGTTTTAGTTTTGCAATCTCAGTTATGGACATGGGGCTTGGGATGATAAGAGCGATATGAAGCTAAAGAGATTTGAAACGGTAGATTCATGGAGCAAGGATTTCACCTTCTGTTTCCTATGTTAGTTAAATGAAACTCTAGACTTATATATAAATACCGCCTGGAATTTTTCAGATTTGAAGTACCTTGCTTCTTGGGCTGAAATTGGAGTCTCTCTCGTTTCTACTAAATCTTAGGCCTATCACTAAAGCATGAACGATGAAATTGGAGTCTTTCTCATATCTACTAAATCTTAAGCCTATCACTAAGACATGAAACGAGTGTATCTGAAAACCGATTTGGTTTTGTGGCAACTAGAATTTTATGTGTTCGCCTCATACTAATAAAGCTGAAGGGCAAGTTCTATAGGATAGTTGTGAGACCAACTTTGCTCTATGGGGCTGAATGGTGGGTGGACAAAAAACAATATAGTATAGCGGAGATGATAATGTTGAGATGGATGAGTGACAAGACAAGAAAGGATAGAATTCGAAATAAATCCATTCGAAAAAATTTAGGTGTGGCACCAATAGGCGATAAGCTGAGAGATAGTAGACTTAGGTGAGCTAGCTATATGTGGCGTCGATCAATTACAATACTTGTTAGGAGGTACAAGTTAGTTTAAATGGAAACACTTAAAAGTGCAAGGGGTAGGCCTTAAAGGACGTGGATGGAAGTAGTTCGGAAAGATATATGGACTTATGGCCTCACTGAGGGTATGGCCTTTAATAGAGTAGAATGGTGGATCAGGATTCATGTAGCCGACTCTAATTAATTGAGAAAAAGGCTGATGAGATAATAAGATCGATGATTTTAAGATGCAGTTTCTATGGGCTTAGGCTTTATAAAGACAAAATAAAGTCTCACCTCAAATCCTCATCCGGAAAGCACTTTCAACATCTAAAATCTTCATGATGGCTTTAAAATTAATTTCCAACAATATCGATAAAATTTGATACTCAAAAGATGTTACAGAACTTGCGGATCTATGAATACTTATTTTTATAGCGAATGGATATTCTAGATGATTTGTAGCAATATACACTATCTTTAGAATTTGAAATCAAATTTTTTTTACACAACCATAATGTTCAAGATGAGATGAATTGCAATTTTTTATGAGACTTTACTTATTTTGATAGGCTGCAACCCTATCAAACCATTTTCAATTGTATTTTTTTACATGATTTTTAAAATTAAATCAAACAAATGGATAAATTGTTAAATAGTTTCTCTTGCTTGTATATTTTGATAAGCTTCCCATTTGGTTATTATTCCACATTACATGTTTTACACTTATCTTAGTGGTTTGTTTTCTTAGACTATCAGTCTTTAGTATTGAGGAATTACTAGAGATTTTCAACCTATACCTCATCGGTTTTTTTTTTTTTTTTTTCTTTTTTTTTAAAAATTTAGGGCGGAGAATTGCAGAGGAGGCAGCCGAGTTCCTGCCGCTAAAGGTGGTAGGCCATGTTCTCTTACAGCCCTTCTTTGGAGGTGAGGAACGCTTACCTTCTGAGCTCAAACTAAAGAACATGCCATTGGTGTCAGTGGATCGCGCAGATTGGCACTGGAAGGTGTTCTTGCCCGAGAATTCAGACAGAGATCATCCTGCATGCAATGTTTCTAGCCCGAATTCACCAGACATTAGTGAATTGGATTTTCCTGCAAGTTTAGTGGTGATTGGAGGGTTTGACCCTCTCCAAGATTGGCAGAGAAGGTATCCTTACTTATTTTTATTACGATTAATGAGACCTACGTTAGTTATGATCATATTCTATTGGAATTCCTGTGTGAAGAAACAGGATTGATTGTGGGCTATTTGGATCACAATTAGTGAAAAGGTGTGGTTGCTATAAGGTTGCAACTTTAAACAATTCAATTAAGGTGCACTACCAAATTTTATCATAACATGTAATTTTGGGTTAAAAAATTCTTAGGTTATCTCAAAATCTACTTTCATATCTAATTATAAAATTTTAAACTTAAAAATTGGTTAAAATTAAGTAGATCTATAAACATATGAAAATCTTTAAGATAGATGGTCTAGAGAATATGTTGCAAGATGTACTATTTCTATGACTCAAATTTTTTTTTTTTTTTTCATATTCATATATCTGAATGTTGAGATGATAAATTAGAGGGTTTTTCAATATTAAAACAACTGATGGATTTTTGGGGTGCATCTTTAATTCCACTATGTAAGGTTTCAACCTTATATAAACTTATTCCTTACGGTAAAGATTGATTATTATTGTTTTGCCATAATTTTTTTTTTTTTTTTTTGGATTTTTAAAATATTCCCAACTATAATCTGTTTTTTGTAAACTCATTTTACCAATACCATTTTAAGCTTATTTGGATTCCTTTTATATATATGTATTTTAATTTTTTCAATTTATTGAGGGCTTTCCAGCCCTATACAGGACTCGGCCGTGTAACTCACCTTGGTCAGGTTCCCTGGCCACAACAAATATATTGTAAATCATTTGCGAGCATTTGAAGTAAGCTCATTCTTGACTTTGTAGAAATAATTACTTTTTTTGTTGATGATTTTTTATTTAAGGATTTTCGAGTGGCTGAAGAAAAATGGGAAGGTGGTTGAGCTAGTGGAGTTTCCAAAAGCATTCCATGGATTCTATGGATTTCCAGAGATACCAGAGGCTAACCAGTTCTTTTTGGATTTAAAAGCCTTCATTGAGAAATGCAGCCAATAAATCAAGTGGAATATCTCACCTTCAATTTGTTTCTTTTGATATTATAATAAGCGTGTAACTTAATGACTTGTCGATGTTCATTCCTAAAACTGAGTGCTTTTGTCGAGACCATGTTTCCTAAGGAAATTTGAAGCTACAAATTTGAAATTTAAGCGTGTGAGCTTAGAATATGGTGGGGTAATGAGAAGTAAGATGGTGTTATTGAACTCAAAATGGTAGCGGTGGCAATGGACCCGTACCCGACCAGAGACCCAACGGGTAGACCCGATTCTGGTCTGGGTATGGGTCCAAAAATTGGACCCGGCAGGTCCAAATTTTTTACCTAAATACTATTTGTGTCCGGGTACAGTCCAGGTTTCACATTTTCTAATATATGAAAATATATTTAAGGGAAAAGTTTATATAGAGCCGAGGCTCTAAACAATCAAATTTTAACCTGCTTAAAAAATTTCACTAGAAGAGGTTGTTTTTATGCCTAAATATCCTCATGTTGATCATCTCGACATCAAGATGCATGGACATGAGAAAAAAAATGGATTTCAAGTTTTGGAAATAGTGTATTTTATAACGTATTTTTGGACCGTCAATTTTCAAGATTTTCAAGTTTTCATAGATCTATCAATCTATACTATTTTTTAAGCTTTAAACTTTATAAATAAAGATGGAAATATATTTTCAGGGTATCACAATTATTTTCAGCATTGAAACTATATTTCTCGACACTATTTGAAGGTAGGCTCTAATTTGATTGTTTAGAGCCTAGGCTCTATACAAACCGCACCCTATATTTAATGACATAGATATTTTAATTTTTAGGTCGAGTCCAGTCTAGTCGGGTCCATATCCCGATTTGGGTACCAAATTACATTTTTGTGTCCGGGTCTAGGTTCAGTGACTTTGGGTCCCATTGGGTCCGGGTCCCATAGTAGTTTTTTGGGCTAGGTCTGGGTGGGTCTGATCCATTACTACCCCTACTCAAACCTAAAGGGTAGCCCTGTAGATGGGTTGGTTTGGGTTACAAATATTAAATTGTACAATATAATATATCATTTGGTACAAGTAAGTCACATTCACTTTTAGCCATCAAATACAAAATCTAATAACATTGGTTTCATCACAAAATTTGACAAATTGATTTTTAAAACTTTGAACTCAGCATGTATGTGACATACCCTCAGCCCTCAGCCGCCCGATTTTACATCTAACAGTAGAAGATGATTGTGAACTCATTGTGCCAAGAGTAAAAAGTTTTATCATATATTTTCTTGTATATGCATTTTGCATATTTATATTATTACAGATACTTAGGTTAACTCCTACCTAACCCGACCTGAGCGAGTTGGGGTTGGAACCTCTACTAGAAAGGCTTGAAAATGTATCATCTTTATGCATTTGCATATGCAAAGAAATTTAGAAAAGCATCCTAAAACAGGAAACATTTTGATTAGAAATGGAAGGGCATGACCATTGTTTGGGGAACAAACTTTCTGCAAAATCAAAATCCTTGGAGCAGCTGATTGATATTTGGGAGGAAAAAGGTTCAAATGAAACTGTGGACTTTTTTATGCTTATTGTTGAAAAAATGCTTTGATTTCTTGCTGTGCAACAGCTGTTAATAAAGAAGGAAATGGGCAAGTCATTATGGATCTCTCTCTTGTTCTTTTTTTTGGGCTTTACCTTTACATATGCTATTTAATTTGCACATAGTCATTAGCTGTTGGAAATTGGAAGCTACCTTTCTCATCATTAACAAATAAATTAGGTAAATAAGGCTCTGTTTGACAAAACAGACTATAAATATTCAACTTTTTAAAAATATGAATGAAGGCATTGACTACTTTGCATAGTTCTGAATTGTATATTATTCTAATATATCTTTCTTTATGCATGTTTGGCTGTTATTTTCTCAGATCAAGAATATTTGATTGTGGGTGCAGTTGGCATACGGATGCCTCCGTAAGTGTAGAGGTAAGGTGCCCTTCAAATTTTATCATGGTATATAATTTTGATGTAAAATGCTCTTAGGATTATCTCAAAAATTATTTTTATATCTAATTATATAATTTTAAATTTCAAAAATGGTTAAAATCAAGTAGATCTATAAACATATGAAAATCTTGAAAATTGACGGTGTAGATAATATGTTGTAAAATACACTGTTTCTGAGACTTAAAATCTTTTTATTTTTCATAGTCATACATCTCGATGTCGAGATTATCAATCAAAGGATCTTTCAACATTAAAACTACCTTTTCCGATAATTTTTTTAGAGGCATCAGTAGTTTTACTTTATAAGGTAGCAAGCATCCTTGTATAAACTTTTTCCTTTGATTTTTAGGAACACAGGAAATGGGGAAGCCATGTAGTTGTACTTTATAAGGTAGCAAGCATCCTTGTATAAACTTTTTCCTTTGATTTTTAGGAACACAGGAAATGGGGAAGCCATGGTCTCACTATTAGGCTAAAAAACAATAAACAAAACTCAAAAGAAAATTGAGTACAAAACAGTGAACACAACCCTCTCTCAGCTCCTCTATCACAAGACGTTTTACAACCAGATCTTCGTCGAGGAAAGGGATCCAAAAATTAATAGAAACCACAAAGAAATTGAATGCCCATGCCCATGGCTTCTCGTTCACATATACTACCAATCCTCTCTCTGTAAATGGCCTTTTCTTCTCCATCTCTACCTCTTTCTCTCTCTAAAAGCTTAAATAGAGTGAGGTTTTCTACTATAAACTTTTTCCCCTTTCATGGGTTCGTGCAAGCAAGCATGCGTGAAGCAGAGGCCAAAGCCAAAAAAAAGGCTGTAAGAATTTAATCCCCACTTTAATTTTATGGGATCCTGATAATTGAACGTTTTTAAAGGGTATTGTTTGTACAATCAAACAAGTCATAAGCCCTTTTAAGATCAAAATTATTATGGAAGATATTGTGGGGTTCCTTAATTATAAAAGTCTATTTTGTATTTTTTTTTACCATTCAATTTCATATTTCAAATATCACCAAATATTGTTTTTGGAAATCCAAATTCATGGATATGAGACTGAATGGGTTTACGATGATATTGAGATGCCTTTCAAGTCAAAACCGACGCAGATGCAATGAAGCGACCCACTCACCAAATACTTGTTTAAATATTTACTTTCAATCATCATACACGTGGCCAAAGTTTGAATACTGGCTTGGACCCCCGGGGCTCCATGAGCCCTAGAGGATTAATATTAATCCCTGGCATTAATATTTGTTTACCACTTCAAAAAACTATTTTATCATTGATTTTCATAATTATAACTTTAATTCCCAGTATCTTCTTTGAGATATTTTTATACAATAAGTTAGATATCATCATGGAAGTAGTCCGAAAAGATATGAGGCTTATAACCTCACTGAAGATATAACCTTTAATAAAACAGAATGACGGATCGAGATTTGTTTAGCTAACCCCAATTAATTAAAAAAAAACTATGATGATGATGAAGTTAGATATCATGATAGAGCAAATATTAAGAATGTTTAAAGTACATGTTACTTACATCATCACCAACTCTCTCGCTCCAAAAAAAAAAAAACTTATTTTTCTCATGTGTAACTTCTTGAAAACACATTGGAAGTAATTCAAATTCTATTTCTTGGTTTATCGAGTACTTCAATGTACCTTTTGGGGATGCCACATTGTCTACAAGGTGCTTGGCTAGGTCTTCAATGACTCCAACTTGAACCAACACTTCATGTTGTCCTTTTTCACCTATAAACATGAAGAATGCTACCTCTTCACTATGAATATTTATACAGTAGAAGCAAGCTTGCTACGAAGAAACACTTCCACTTTAAATATCTATATAAAGTAGTACAGGCAACCCACTATCAAGATCTGGCTGCAGTTCTACATATCCGGATATTCTTGATGAACCGAGAAGCCTAGAATATCTTTTGATTTGATCCAATGGCAAGTAATTATTGTGATAGAAACACTATTTTTAAAATTTAATTATTATTTTTATATCCATACATCTTGAGGGTTGAGATGATCAATTGGATTGTTTTCAAGCATTGAGACTAAGGGGCAACGGATCGAGTCCAAGTTTTGGACCCAGACCCGACCTTTGGGATCTACCCGTTGGGTCTCGGGTTTGGTCGGGTCCATTGACACCATGTGACTATGAGCTTCTTTTTTCTTTTCTTTTTTTCCTTTTTTTTTTACCATCATATACCTATATCATTGGTAACATTTACAGTATTGCACAATTTTATGAGTACTCACATATACCCATATTCCTTATTGTTTTATGTAATAAGTTATTGGCAACATTTATGAATACCCACACATAGGTCGGGTCATGGGCCCAGAACCAACCTTTTGGGTCCAAAATTTAGACTCATACCTGGACATGAGATAGGGTATACGCCTCAAGTCCCAGGTTTGGTCGGGTCCATTGCCACCAATGTTGTACGGAGTCTTCTTCGGTTTGGTAAGAAAAATCAAAAATTCGGTACTTCGACGGATTTAGGAGAGGGCTTCGGACTTTTTTATTTTAATTTAACATATATAAATTATATATTTATATAAAATAAAAATATCTATAAATAAATTTTAAAAAAACTTAAACAAAATACTTTTACATATTTCTTTGCTTTGGCCGAGTCGGCCCGACACAGACCCGAATCTAACCGAAGCAGCCCAAAATGATCAGAATCTAACCGAAGCAATAGCCCAAACTTTGCTTCGTTTCGATCTAGGCCTAAAATCCAAAAGATTCGGCCGAAACGAAACGAATTTGACAGCACTTATTGCCACTCCAAATTGAAACAAGGGAAAATTATAGATACCCCTAATTTCAACTTTCTACAATCTTGTCCCTAATACTTTTTGTAGTATACTCTAAACCTCAACACTATTTTTTTTTGCATTTACCTCCAGTCAAATAGTCAAATCATTTTGAAACTAAAATGTCATTTTTCCCTCTCTTCCTCTTTTTTTCTCTGTCCTTTTAGACACGTGACTCTCTCTTTCTCTCTCTACCTCTCTCTACCCATCATCTCTCTCTTTTTCTCTCTCTAGTGATTTATCTTCCTCTCTCTATCCTCCCTCACTTTCTCTCTCTCCCATACCTCATTCTTTCTCTCTCTACAACTCACATGCACATAATGTAGTCTGTCACGTTTTTGTGTTAGACAAAAAAAAAAAATTCGTGGTCCAGTACAAAAGCCTGACGGATCGCAAAAACTATTTCGGTCCAGTACAAAAAAGTGTCGGACCGCATTGAATTCCAATAGCTTTTACATACCCAAAATGCCGTCCGCCACATCACGCCTTGTCCTTGACTGTATTATAGGCATATGAATGGTAGAGAGAGAAATAATGAGGGAGGGTAGAGAGAGAGATAGTGAGAGAGGGTAGAGAGAAATAGTAAGGGAGGGTAGAGAGAGAAAGAGAGAGAAATAGGTGGAAAGAGAAAGAGAGATAGAAACAAATGGAGAGAGAAAGAGAGAGGATGGGTGAGAGTTTTTTGGTAACTAGAGAGTTTGAAAGAGAAATATAAAAAAATTTATTGAAAAGGGGAAGAGAAATAAAAAATGGGCACTTTGGTCTCAAAATGCTTTGACTAATTGACTGGGGGCAAATCCAGGAAAATTTAATATTGGGGTTTAGGGTATAATAGAAAAAGTATTAATGATAGGATGTGTATAAAGTTGAAATTGAAGAGTATCTATAACTTTCCCTTGAAACAACTTTATCTCACACTTCTATATTACATAAAAGAGGGCACTTCAAAAAATTCACTACAATAGGTTGTTTTGATGCCTAAATATCCTCAAATTGATCATCTTGACATCCAGATGCATAGACATGAGAAAAAAACTGGATTTCTAGCTTTGGAAATAGTTTTTGTAATACATTTTTTGGATCGTCAATTTTCAAGATTTTCGAGTTTTCATAGATCTGCTCAATATATACTGTTTTCTATGCTCTAAATTTTATAATTAGATACAGAAAATATATTTTAAGACTATCACAAAGATTTTCAGTATTGAAACCAATGTTGTCAGATTCGTTTCAAAGTCTTCTTTGGTTTGGGGAGAAAAATGAAGCAATTCGGTGCTTCGATAGATTCGGGAGAATATATATAAATTAGATATTTATATACATATATAATATATATAAATAATAAAAATATTAAAAATAAAAAATTTAAAAAATATTAAAAAAAATTATATAGGTATTTCTTTTCTGATCGAAGCATACTCGAATCTAACGGAAGTAACTCGTAGCGGCTCGAATATGACCGAAGCGAAAACACTATGTTTGGATTTATGCTTGAAAACCGAAGGCTTCGACCCGTAGCGAGCCAATTTGATAACATTGATTGAAACCGCATTTGTCTATTACTATTTGAAGGTGTGTTTGTTGTTTAGAGCCTCCACCCAACGGAAACCGCCCCTTTAAACAAGACGACGTTTATGGCTCTCATCCACCCGGTACTCATCTTGCCCCAATGATTGGAGAGAAAAAGTAAACTGCCCCACCATCTCACGGAAAACCAGGTTCTCTCTGTTATTACGTCTGTACCTGTTACGGAAATTCCCCGGAGAGATGCCTCTACTCCGTCCCGTACTCATGCCTCTCTTCCATTCCGTACAAACGAATCTCGCCTCAAAGTCTAAACTGCCACTATTCTCCCATGGGACCAAAATGCCCCTACTATCTCATTGAAACCAGGCTCTCTCTCGTCTTCCTAGTGTCTTTTAGCTTACCCCCAAATGTCTGGACAGAAAGACCAAACTGCCCTGCCCTACTCTCCCATGGAAAACTAGGATCTCTCTCCATACTAACCTCCGTTATGGACCTGTGCAGGAGATATAACGGCACAATCAATCGCCGTCTCATCAACCTCGTCGAACAAAATTCTACTGCTAACGCCAAACCGGAAATTGTCAACGGCAAACCGGAAACCACCTTCACGGTCAGAGACGTAACCCTAGACCCCGGCAAAGACCTGTGGGTCCGCGTCTTCACACCCAACTGGAAACCAGATGGAAGCCGTTCCCCGATCATCGTGTTCTTCCAGGTCGGTGGTTTCACCTTCATGTCTCCGAGATCCAAGGGGTACCACGATCTCTGCAAGCGGTTTTCCGGCTAGATGCCGGCCGTCGTGGTTTCGGTGAACTACAGGCTCGCGCCTGAAAACCGCTTTCCGGGGCATTACGATGACGGCTTGGAGGTGGTGAGGTGGATCGCAAACGCCGGGAAACAGCATGGAGGTGACGGAAAACGGGTATTGGAGAAAGACGGTTTTCTCGAAACCGCCGATACGTCGAGGTGTTTTCTAGTTGGGGACAGCGCTGGTGGTGCACCATGTGGGTACGCTCTCTTCATTAAACACAACACTGAAGTAGTGAGAGAGACTGGAGTTCCAATGGTCTTCATTGCTGTTAGGATCGGACTGGCCACTTAACCATATTTTCGCTCTATTAAAAAAAGATTCCAACTAAAGATTGAACCAGTTCGATCTTTTTTCGAAAAAAAATAAAATAAAAATTCCACTGTAAAGATTAAAAAATATAAATATAGTAAAAATATTTAAACTTTAATTATTTGATTGAACGGATCAAAGTATATCTGTCTGATTGGCCAAACAACTAATTTTGATTTTTATCGGGGACGATATATTACTGAAAGCACTGATTGAAGGACCACCGGTTCGGTTTGATTTTAATAACTATGGTTATCTTGGCTTTGATGAGAAACCACCGGTTCTGTCTGATTTTAATAAGTATGGTTATCTCGACATTGATGAGAGAGAGACCATGCTTACTTCGTTGCAAGAGAGTTGCTCGGTATTTCTAGTTTGAAGAGAGAGAGATTGTGATATGATTACTTGGATGTGAGAGAGTTTCTCGTTATTGCGAGTTTGACAGAGAGATTATGATATGATTACTGTGATGATTTTGATAACAAGCCCAACAGAGTTTGTGGAAATCTCTCCGCACTAGGAGTGGCGATGGACATAAACCGGATCCGGGACCTGGCAAGTATATCCGACATTGAGTTTTGGTATGAGTTCAAGTTTGTAGGGTCTGGGTCTGAGTATGGGTCCAAGTTTTGGAGATCCGTTGGTAAGGTTTGAGTCTAAGTCCCGTAAATGGTACTCGGGTAGGGTCCGGATCCAATAAATGATATTGAACGGTCCTCGTCCAATAAATGATACTTGAGTAGAGTCTGGATCCGAGTCCAATAAAAGATACTTGAGTAGAGTCTAGATCCGAGTCCAATAAATGATACTCAATCAGTCAAGTATGGCTATATTCCGGACAAGTATTTATTATATATAATTTATCATTAATTATGGCTATATTCCAGACAAGTATTTATTATATATAATTTATCAATAATTTCAATAAAACTGTTTTATTAGTTATATAATTTGATTTTTTAAATAAATCTTAAGTTTTCCTGCCTCTTTTACAAAGCTTACATCTCGGGGGTTCTATACACCTCTTGGATGTGGCATTAATCCCACACAATGCCAACCTAAAAATAGTTATTAAAAAAATATTATATTGTTAGTCCTAAAAATAGTTATTGCCTTTTCTTTGGACCACAAGCGTTCTAGCCAGCCAAGTGCGCCCCCTCTCTCTTGTCCATATTCTCCTAGTGACACTCTTATGTCTTTCTTTTTTGTTTAAATATGTAAAAAGAGCTTCTTTCTTTATTTCCCTAATTAATTTTTGGGTGCAGTTGGCATATAGATGCATTGTAGTTATAGAGCTAAGGTGCACCTTCAAATTTTATCTTTGTATATAATTTTGATGTAAAATGTTTTTAAGATTATTTCAAATCTATTTGAGTAATGACACTATGAGACCCTCCCACACCTATGTGAGTAGGATCCCAAAGGATCACTATTAAATTTTAACACATATCTCTAGAAAAGTTATCACATGAGTGTGAGACTTCTTCAGTGAATGAGTTTATTGATAACTTTTCTATGCATCTGTGTCAAAATGTAATGATGATCTTTGAGGTCCTATTCACATGGGTATGAGAAGGTCTTATAGTATCATTATTAAATCTATTTTTATATCTAATTATAAAATTTAAAATTTCAAAAATGATTAAAATCAAATAGATCTATATAAATATAAAAATCTTGAAAATGAACAATATAGATAATATGTTATAAAATGTATTATTTTTTAAATTTAAATTTTTTTTATTTTTCATAGTCATGCATCTAGATGTCGAGATGATCATTCAAAAGGCTTTTTAACATTAAAACTACCGTTTTTAATAAATTTTTGAGATGTATCCTTAATTCTACATTAGTTAGGTATCCCTTCCTCTTTTCTCTCTCTCATTAATTACGTACGCGATCCTCTCTTCTCTCTCCCTCATTAATTACGTACCCCTTCCTTTCTCTCTCTACGTATTTAATTACTTCTCCTCTGCCACTCCCCCTGATTTAATTTCTTCTCCTCTGTCTCACCCCTTCATTAATTGCGTACCTTCCTTTTTTTATAGGAGGTATGTGGGTGAGATTAATCCCACATTGAATAGGTGAATAGATTCAAAGCGGTGTAAAAAGGAGTTTAAAACCGAACACATAACATAAGCATGTTTGGTATGGGTGTGGGTCTCAATTTTTAGGACCTATACCCCTCTTAGGTATGGGTCTAGATCTTCGGTTTTTTTGCTTTACTTGTTGCGACCCCAACTCTCACAATACATAAAATAAAAAGTTTAGATAGATCGAGGATCAAGGGCTCTAAACAATCAATTAGAACCCACCTCTTATTGGAAGAGAAAAATAAATAATCATCACTAAAAGAGGTTGTTTTGAAGCTCAAATATCTTCAAATTGGACATCAAGATGAGCCCACCTTAAAAAATTCCCTAAAAGATCAAGATGAGCCCACCTCAACAAATTCACTAAAAGAAGATGTTTTTGATGCCTGCTCAAATATCCTCAAATTGATGCGGATTCGAGGCGAGGCTTTCCTTTGTATTCATAAGGCTTAGGCTTATAGAAAGTACATCCTATATAACGTTTGTCAACATACACCAAACCTGTCAACTATTTAATATTTTAAATTTACAACTACTGCACTCTATGTTTTGATAATTTTTTGTAATTAAATTTATGATAAACAATTAATTATGTCATCTCTTTGGTTTTTTAGTAAATTTTCCAAAAATGTCCCTGCCTAAATTATCCTATTACGGCTGGAATCAAAGAAAAAAAAAATGACATTTTAGTAATTGAACCTACCCTTAATAAGCCGGTTCTCCAGTTGGGCTTGTCTCAAATTACCAAAATGCCCCTATTTGTTTAGAGTTCTCAAACATGAACTCAAAACAATTTAAGTATTTTTGTTTTGTTTTGAGGAGGTACTTGTATGACATTACTGGAAAGAGTTTATATAAGGTCGCAACCTTATACAACAGAAATAAGGTGCGTCTCAAAAATTAGTAGGAATGAGTGTACCGAAGTTGGAAAAACCTTTAAATTGATCACCATAACCTCAATATATATGGACATAAAGAAAAAAAAGAATTTCAGGTCCTAAAAATGCCCCGTCTTATAAGAAGTTATCTGAACTGTCTATTTTTTAGATTTTCAAGTGCCTATAGATCTACTAGATCAGTATTATTTTTAAAATTTTAAATTTCATAATTAGGGTTGAGCATAGATTTTATAGCCATTAGAAAGTTTATGATACCAAAACTATATGTTCCGACAAATTTTGAAGGTGCGCCTTACTTGTATAGTATAAGGTGGGCACCTTATACAAACCTCACCTGATATAAATATCAAAATCTCTTATGTTAATTAAGATGTTGGAGCCCTTATGGCACGTTTGGTTTGCGTGAAAATATTTTTACCTGTAAAAAATTCTCTTATTAGTATGAAAAGATATACTAAGACCAATTGGTATGAAAATATTTCCCCACTTTAAAACATTTTCTAGAAAACTTTTTCACACGAACGAAACATATCATTAGTTTAATAGTTTCTCATTCATAATTCTTGTGACTTTGATGTAACAGATCCAGCATATATGTGAACATTTGAAAATGGAGGCTCTCAACAATGAGTTAAATCCCACACTATTCTTCGGGCTTGGAATATTTCTCTATTCTTTTCATCAGAGTTGCAATTATTGACTTGGAAATGATAATTTTGATGATTTTATGATGTCAAAACATTGACTTCAGCTCGATGCTGTCTTTTCCTTTATATGATCCCTCTCAGTATCTAACAATCGATATGATTAAACCTACAATATTATATCACATTTACTTTGTATTAAGTTAGGAAAATTTCACAAAATACATTCAACATATCGACCATTAACCTTTTATCCATTTTCAACTGTATTTTTTACAAGCTTCTTAAAATTAAATCAAATAAATGGATAAATTGTTAAATAGTTTCTCTTGCTTGTATATCTTGAATCTTGATAAGCTTCCCATTTGGCTATTATTCCACAATTCATGTTTTATACTTATATGAGTGGTTTGTTTTCTTTGACAATCGTTCTTTAGCATTGAGGAAATCAAGGGATTTTCAACCAATACCTCATTTTCTTTTCTTTTTTTAAAAAAAAAATTTAGGACGGAAAATTGCAGAGGACGCAGCCGAGTTCCAGCCGCGAAAGGTGGTAGGCCATGTTCTCTTACAACCCTTCTTTGGAGGCGAGGAACGCTTACCTTCTGAGCTCAAACTAAAGAACGTGCCATTGGTGTCGGTGGATCGCGCAGATTGGCACTGGAAGGTGTTCTTGCCCGAGAATTCAGACAGAGATCATCCTGCATGCAATGTTTCTAGTCCCAATTCACCTGACATCAGTGAATTGGATTTTCCGGCAAGTTTAGTGGTGATCGGAGGATTTGACCCTCTCCAAGATTGGCAGAGAAGGTATTCTTACTTGTTTTGTTTTTTTTTTTTTTTTATGATTATTGAGATCTATGTTAGTTATGATCATATTCTATTGGAAATCATGTGTCTTAACATTGAATTGATTGTGGGCTATTTGGATCACAAATTGTTAAATTGTTTGATGGAAATTGAACTTTTTTTTATTTTATACTTGTTGACTTAAAGATTTTTTTTTCTTTTTCAAGTTTTTAGAAATGGGTTTTGATATTGTCTTTTATAACATATTATAGGGCATTTTTTCGTTCTTTATCCTCGAGTAAATATGTCCAACATATGTGTGTGTGTGAAACGGAAAGGGTATAATGAATTGAGGTGCACTCTCTCGCTCTCTATGAATTTCGTAATCTTTCATAGAACACTATTTAGATAAAGTTTTATTTTTATCGATGGCAGGCAGACATATTTATGGTAGCATACTCCCTCGAGAGCACACTATATATATACTTACTCCCTCAAGCGAAACAGCTATTTTTCAACATATTTTGGCATTTTATATTGTTTCTCTTTGAGCAAAGGACAACAAATCTACACAGATAAGGACCCCATTACTATCTCCTGATCTTTGCTCATGGATTACTTTGTAAGTATTTGAAATTTAATCTTGGATTTGTAGTATTTAGGTCTACCTAATTGTCCTACTTATATATCTTTTTAGAGTAATGATACTATGAGACCCTCCCATACTCATGTGAGTAGGATCCCAAATGGTCATCATTAAATTTTAACACAGATCTCTAAAAAACCCATTCACCCAAGTCTCACACCCATGTCATAACTTTTTAAGAGATCTGTGTCAAAATTTAATGGTGATCATTTGAGGTTTCACTCACATGTATGTGGGAAGGTCTCGTAGTGTCATTTCTCATCTTTTTATACCTAACCTTGCTTTACCTTTTTCTTATCGAAACGTAGCCATCCTAGTGGAAGACAACATGGTATTGAAGATATAAATATCAACAAAAGGGACTTAATCTTTTGAATTTTCAGATTTTGAAAATGGCATGGGAGATCTTAACCATAACAATTTGACATGAAACATATTATAGGCCATGTAGAATGACCTAGACATTGTGTGATTAATCTCTTGCTGCCCGATATTTGTTGACATAACATAGGTGTCGCATGTGTTTGATGCTTTAGGAACTTAGACATATTTTAATTTTTTTCTTGAAACATTATAAAAGGTACTTAATGTCTCTTAAAATCTCATATCCTTATATAGTTTTTTTGAAAAGTTCCCATATCTCCATATGTTTAAAGGGATTATATACAATGAGACTATCTACCTTTGGTATAAGGAAGTCACAATTAATCTCGACCATTAGATGTGAAATTTGATGGCTTTGATGTGTCACAAAGTTCGAGAAAATTTCTTTTGAACTTTAAGTTTGTTCAATCGAATAAATGCAGCTACTTAGTTTCACATCTAATGGGAGATTATTTGTGACCTCCTGATATTAAAGAAGATGAACAGTCTTATTTTATATTTTTTTTATATTTAAATGGTACATTTAAAAACCAAGTTTGATATTGGTGCTTCTAATAGTTATGTCCGTATAAAACACTGACACACACATCCCCATATATATATAACATGGATATAGATATATTATGATATAGCACTCACATGTTAGATTTCCATGAATTTTTGACACGATTTGGACACTTCATTTATGTGTCTTTGCACCAGAGACTTGTATATATCTACTAGAGTTTAACAAATAGATGTCATCCTGAAAAGTGTGTATAATGGGAAAAGATCAAACTGACATGGGAGAGGCTATGCAGCATCGGAGACGTGCATTGTAGTGTTTAAAAACTTTGGGCTCGAACTTGCCAGGGGATTGAGCCCGAGCCCGAGTGCCTCTAGTCGGTCTCAGGCGAGTCCAAGTTGGACTAGGCAATTTTAAATTTTAAAGAAAAAAATCAAGCCGTGTTTAAAATTGGGGGAGTCGGATGATTTCTAAGGTTTTTCGGCCCGGAATCGCTAGGCTCTCGATCTAGACCAACTCAAATGAGTCCTGAGTCAGCCCGATGATTTCTTAAACAGTTTGGCCTACTCATCCACGTATAGTTAATCCCCACCATCTATTACAAGGATCAGCCAGTGGATGGGTGTGGAGATAACCTTGTAAGTTTCAAAATGGGTACATATTCTATATATAGTGAGTAGTAATGTGCCAGACTCGGCTGAGTTCATGTGTAACTCAGCCTTGCCCTATGTGTGGCTTAATTTCCCCGAGATGTATGTACAACTCAGGGATACTAAAAGATTTTAGAAAGAATTAAAAAAAATCATTAAAAAAATGTGGGGTTGATGTATAATTTTTTTTGTGTATGATTTATACATTTTTGGTCAAGGTTTTTACTAAATCCATTTCACCAATACCATTTTAAGCTTATTTTATATAATTTTATTTTTATAATTTTTTCAATTTATTTAGGGCTTTTCAGCCCTATGTAGGACTCGGTTGAGTAACTCTCCTTGGCCGGGGTGCGACTTCCCTGGCTAAGGCGAGTATCGGCACACTGCAAATATATGGTAAACCATTTGCAGGCATTTGAAGTAAGTTCATTCTTGACTTTGTAGGAATAATTACTTTTTTTGTTGATGAATTTTTATTTAAGGTATTTTGAGTGGCAGAAGAAAAATGGGAAGGTGGCTGAGATAATGGAGTATCCAAAAGCAATTCATGCATTCTATGTATTTCCAGAGATACCAGAGGCTAACCAGTTCTTTTTGGATTTAAAAGCCTTCATTGATAAATGCAGCCAATGAATCAAGTGGAATATCTCAACTTCACTTTGTAAATGCAGCCAATGAATCAAGTGGAATATCTCAACTTCACTTTGTTTCTTTTGTTATGACAAAAAGTATGTAAGTGAATGAGTTGTTGATGTTCCCCTAAAAGTGAGTGCTTTTGTCAAGAACTGTGTTCCCTTAAGGAAATTTAAAGTTATACATTTGAAAATTAAGCGTGTGAGCTTAGAATATGATGGGTAATGAGAACTAAGATGGTCTTATTGAACTCAAAGCTAGGGATGCAATGAACCCGGACCATACAGGTAGACCCGACCAGGTCTGGGTACAGATCCAAAAATTGGACCCGGCGGGTAGGGTCCAAGTTCAAATCTTGGACCTGAGAATATATTTAAATACATCAATATTTTAATTTTTGGGTCCGTGTCTGGCTAGACCAGACCCGATCTATTGCCAACCCTACTCAAACCTGAAGGGTAGGCCTGTAGATGGGTTGGATCTCGGTCAAAAATCTAAAATTGTACAATATAATGTATCAATTGGTACAAAGAAATCACAATTACTCCTAGCCTGTGAAAATCCAAGAACTTTGGTTTCATCATAAATGAGAAATTGATTTTGAAACTTTGAGCCCAGCATGTGGCATACCCTCGGCCTTCAACAGCCCGATTTCATATCTAATAGCTGATGATGATTGCGACCACCTTATACCAAAAGTAAAAAGTTTTATTAGATATTTTCTTGTATATGCATGTTCCATAATTATATTGTTATACATACCTAATCAGGTTGACTCCTACCCAACCCGACCTGAGCGAGTCGGGGTTGGAACCTCTACTAGAATGGCTTGAAAATGTATCATCTTTATGCATTTGCATATGCAAAGAAATTTAGAAAAGCACATTATAGTATGTCCTAAAACAGGAAACATATTGATTAGCAATGAAAGGGTATGACCTTCGTTTGGGGAACAAACTTTCTGCAAAATCAAAACCATTGGAGCACCTGATTGATATTTGGGTGGTAAAAGGTTCAAATGAAATTGTGGACTTTGGGTGCTTATTGTTGAAAAAATGCTTTGTTTTCTTATTGAGTAAAAGCTGTGAATAGAGAAGGAATAGGCAAGTCATTATGGATCTCGATCTCTCTCTCTCTCTCTCTCTCTCTCTCTCTCTCTCTCTCTCTCCATTTTATAATTCTCTTTTTGGGTTTTACCTTTACATATGCCTCTTCATTTGCACATTGTCATTAGGTGTTGGAAATTTGAACCTAACCTTTCTCAGTATTGACCTTAGCCTTTCTAATTGCTTTAGTATTTTAAGATAAATGAATGAGCGAGAGAGAGAGAGAGAGAGATATTGTAAGTAGAATACATTTATGCCCTCCATTCCTGATCTGCTCTCAATAACGTCTGCACAATGCATGGGAACAGTCCACACCACTACACTGGCGCCAATTTGCAAAGAAACATCTCTTTTGGTTGAGGGACTCCAATGTACAGTATACCCGCAGGCACATGCTATACACACATTTACTAATACATTTAGCAACCCACTATTTGGATTATTTTTAAAGGGTGCGGTTTGTATAAGGCTAAGGCCCTAAACAATCAAAATATGGCGCACCTTCAAATAACGTCGAATGACATCATTTTAGTACCAAAAATATTTATGATGACTTAAAAAATTATTTTCATATATAATTATAAAATTTAAAGCTTCAAAAATAGTGTAAATCAAACAGATCTATAAACACTTAATAATCTTACCAATTGACGTTCTAGATAATACATTACAAGATGCACTATTCCAATACTTGGAGTCCATTTCTTTTAGGACCATGCATCTCAAGGTTGAGATGATCGGATTTGAGGGTTTTTTTTATATTGAAAAAACAAACATAAAGGTTTATTGTGCTTGTACTACACTTATGTGGGATATTTTCAACTGCTGCTTTACTTTTTATCATAAAACCATGACCACATGCTAACCACTCCCACAAAGGGAAATTAATTTACAAGAACCACCCAGTAGTAATTAGAGTATGACCACTTCACCAGTCACCCAGCCAATCAGACATTTACAAATTATAACAACAAATAAAAAATGTGTATTCCTATGATTACTATTAGGCAGTTCCAAACACCGTGCAATCACCAGCCCGCAAAAGATTTCAAGAGGATCACTTCCAAGAAACAGGGTTTCTTCCATAGGAAACTTTATTATCCACTTTAGAATCACAAGCACTTTTAAGCCTAGATGCTTTAACCTCACCGGTAAAAAATTGGATGATCTCTATTCAATCTTACGATACTATCTTTTTGAAGCATTTCTCAAGTGCATATGAAATCATACGATTTTCATTATTTTTTTCCTGAGGTTGTTCACCAGGTTGAGGAGGTTCCCTTGCCAAAGATTAGCTCCCCAAATACTCCTAAATAGGATTTTCATAAAGATAACTCCTAAACACGATCACCTGAGGGAGTGGCTTCTGCTCCATGGAGAGAGTATAACCTTTTGGCCTCAAAATAATTTCAATGTACCATGCAATTAATTAGACAGGAGAAATGAATAGCAGCAGAGAGAAGCAAGTGCTTCACATGGCTAAGAACTTTAGTTTCGATGTTATATCTTGTGGATGAATTTTAGATCCAAATTTTTTTTAAGTCTAATATTGAACCTTAAAAATGGTGATACGGACCACCACAATCATGAATATTAATAAAGAAATAAGTTAAGTAAATAAATTATAATGGTCTATTTTGTATTGTTTTTCAAATCCGCATTTTTTTTGGAGCTCCAAATTCATGGATATGAGGCAGAAAGGAATTACAATGATTTTGGGATGCGTTTCAAGTCCTAAATCCCATGAAAACCAAGGCGGATGCATTGAAGCAACCGACTCACCCACTACTAGTTTAAATATTTACTTTCAATCATCATACCCTGAATCAAGATCCCCATTGTGTGAACAAATCCGTCATGTGTAATCCATGGCATTAATATATGTTTACCACTTCAAAAAACACCACTATACAACTGCTAAGCACTATTTTATCATAGATTTTCAAGACAACTTTAATTCCCAATATCTTATCTAAGACATTTTCATACAATAAGTTAAATACCATCATATAGAAAATATTGGGAATTTTTAAAGTACAGGTTACTTACGTCATCACCAACTCTCACTCCAAAAAAAACTTATTTTTCTCATGAGTAACCTCTTGAAAACATAATGGAAGTAATTCAAAATCTATTTCTTGGTTTTATCAAGGACTTCAATGTACCTTTTGGGGATGCCACACTGCTCTACAAGGTGCTTGGCTAGGTCTTCAATGACTCCACCTTGAACCAACACTTCATGCTGTCCTTTTTTACCTATAAACATGAAGAAAGGTACCTCTTCACTATGAATATCTATATAGTAGAGGCAAGCTTGCTTAAAAAAACACTTCCACTTAAAATATCTATATAAAGTAGTACAGGCAACCCAATATCAAGATCTGGCTGCAGTTTTACATATCGGGATATTCTTGATGAACCAGGAAGCTAAAAACATCGTTTGATTTGATCCAATGGCAAGTAATTATTGTGATGAATTGCCTACTGCAATTTTGTCCTAGTAATATAACGATTTTCTTTTTTCAGAAAAAAATATACGGTTGTTTTTTCTATAAACAGAATATGCAGTTGTTAGATTAATTCAACAACAATACCAAATGTTGTCACTAAAAATACATAGGACAAATGCTTGAAAAGATTGCATGATAGAGAGCATCTCCAGAAATATTCAGATGGAATTTCTCATTGGTGGTAGTTATCCGTGTTTATATACACAAACTCATCCCCTATCCTAGCATGAACAAGAGAGAACAGTTCAACACTTGGCTATTCTGTTTATCTCAAAGAAAGAACAAACTGTTTTCAACAATAATTACTTCTAAAATCAACTAGACAAATTTACATCTCCTGAGGAGCAACACTAGGCTTTTAAGTCGGGATTGGCCGCATAAAATAACGTTTGGGGTGCGTGCAGTCTAGGAGCTACATAGATTTCAGGTGATAATGGATGAAATGTGGACAACATAATGGATGGGTAGAAATTTGTGGTGCAAGGCCAAAAATCTAAATCAAAAAATCTCTTGATGCAACATAATTGAGATAATGGTTTTGCTTTTTATTATCGATTTTGATGGTTGATCATAAGGAATTGGATAACTGCAGTTATTAATATTACAACTATTACCACTGCTTCTTGAATTAGCATTACTGCTAAAATAATCATTATTTAATAAACTGCACAGCAATTTGCTACTACAATCCAATGTTGTTGCTACTATTACTATTGTTTACCGTAAATATTATTGCTAACTGCTATCGGTAAAACTACTAATCTTATTACTAGTATTATTAGTTTATTCTTACTATTTACCACCATCACCATGACTACTACTAATGGTGTTGATAGACTTGGCGATGTTGTGATGTTGATGATAATGACATTATTATTAATGCTAAGATATGAAGATGTTCATAATACTTGATGCAACATGGGCCTCTGGCAATACTTGGGCCATGTCAGAAGTACATATAACCTCTTCAGATGGCTAAAAAATGAGGTATTCTTTGAAGTAAAACAGAGATTTTCAGAAGCCGGTGATCCATTTCAGCCTTTGCCTAACTAGTTAAACAAATATTTATGTAACCAGTGCTGGGATTTGGGTCAGGGGATTTTTGTCCCTGGAATGCTTCTGGATACTTCTATATTATCAGTTCCTGTTAGGAAGAAATTATTGATTTAGTCCATTGAATTAAAATGTAAGCCTAGAATTCTTCCAGAGAGAGAACAAATTCATCCCTAGACAAGAATATTGGGCAAACTCATAGAAGCGCATTATCTGCAAGAATAGGTGTAAATTTTTAATCAACATATTCCCTCAACCTAATAGTGTCATAAAAATCATGGCAATCAAATAAATCTCATTAAGATTATCACAAAGTAATGTATGCATTGAGCTATCACACTCAGCAACTGAAATCCCAGGAAACAATAGCACTAATATTCAAGAAGACAGTCATAGATAACTTTAATGCCCTTTTCTATCATAATAAAATAATTAACACGACAGGGCAGGGGGGAGAGGGAAGGGGGGGGGAGAGAGAGAGAGAGAGAGAGAGAGAGAGAGAGAGAGAGATGATAGCATACCTGGAAGCTCTGCCACAGTGGTACTGCATGCAAACTTCTTTTGCAATTCTGATGCTAATGCTTCAGCATCAATCAAGAAAGATTCGAGGCCCGACACTCTTGTGACTTTCTTGTTTCCTTGTCTACGCTCCGTCATTATTTGAACCGTTTTCAGCGCTCCCTTCCGGACCACAGATTCATTTCCCCTCGTCACCTTATGGTGTATTTGCATTCGGTTTACGAATGTCCCCCCCAAATCCTTCTTATGTATCATAGTAGGGTATGTGGTTCCCTTCTTCACTGTTCCTTTGTAGAGGGCATCGCACAAGGTCACATTCAGGACTACATATGCCTTGTCAGTTGGCTTAACCAAATTTTCTCTCTCTACATAAGAAAAAACAAATTCAGTTGCTTCTGATGCACTGTAGTATTTCCCTGTATCAGCCCCAAGTGCAGTGAAGATTGGATTCACGTGAGTTGTGGGTTTGTAGGTCTCCACAACCTCAAGCTGCCCCTTTATTTGCTGGCTTGAACCACTAATAGATTCAGAGTTTTCATCCATGCGTTCTGCTCGTTTCTTTTCAGGCCTAAAGGATGTAAAGTCAGGGTGCACCCGATTTACAGAGAGTAACATGAACTCCTTCTTATGTTTGTCTTCCTTCACCGAAATCTATCGAGAGCTTGAAATTAGATCATGCATGAAAAGAAAATGGAAAGTAAACCATGGTCTAATGGACAGCAGTACATAGTAATCCTAGCTACATCATCATCCATTTGGACCCACTGATCGATGAAGATTAACTGTACAGAGTGACGTCCTGTGGACCCCACTCCAGTTAATCTCTAACCATCCATAAGCAGGAACGGTAATGGATGTAAGTATGTAACATTGGATCTTGGATTATCAAATCCATAGGCCATTGGACTACATTACTCTTCCCCCAAAACACAATACACTGTAAAGAACGGGGAACGCTAGGGGTGGCAATTGGGTCGGGTCAGCCCAATGCATACAGAATGAACAAGCTTATTATTGAAATGCCATCCAAAGAGCTATCACTTCACCAGATACACTTAGTGTCCTAAAGTACTTTGTTACTCCAGAAAGAGGGACAAACATAGGAAACCTTAGCTTCAGGAAATTTGATGATCTAGAGGAAACCCTATCTTGAAGGTTCACATGGGCATGATAGATCTGATGGAATAATGATAGTGATCCTAATAAGGGGAAACATGGTCTGGGTTTTCAACCTAAATTAAACAATGACTCAACAACGGAAGAATGAAGAAATTTGTGTTCACCAATTGCTTCAACCAAGGGAAATACAAGACAGTTATAACCAATTATTTCTCAGCACCTTCAAATTTTGGAATGAAGGGAGCATCTGAAATTAGGGAGTTATTATCGTCTAATGGAATGATTTTTTGGTAGCAGTTTTCCTTTTACACGCATTAGAAGAAGTAATGAATGCCTACCAGTCCCGAAGAGGATTTTGACTGCAGCCATTTAGAGAGCTTCTTGTGTGATGATTTTTTGATGTCAAGAGTGATGCCTTCAGGCCTACAAGGCAAGACATGGCTCGACCTACAACACAGCAGAGTAAATCTGTAAGGTCAAGAAATCCTGCAAATTTAGTTATAGTCGAGAACAAATTACTGCAGAAGTGCAAAAATGAACAAAAATAAGGCTTCATAGGCATGATGTTCTACGCTAATCCAAAAAGGTCAAATGCATGGATAAATTTATATTTTTCGTTGATTAAGGAGGTCTGTACTTATAAAAAGTTTCAAACTTCAAATATCAATGATTTCAAGCATTTATCAGGCTTGTACTACCTTCAAATATTTCTACACATCGGCATGGCACCGCCTTTTCTGCGTACTACATATGATGGTAAAGATCAGCATGACACTGCCTTATTCTCACATTTTTGTTTAGGTATGTACCCGGCTATTCAAGTTAAGCGTCAAGAGTTATATGTGCATGAATATGAAACATATAAAAGAAATCATCATAGAAATTTATAGGTAGAGTATTTGAGTCATATTTTGGGAGCCACTATGTACTTTTAGTAAACGTTTGGCTGGTGCCATCTATGGTGGGACTTTCTACATGTTCTAAGTCTGGATTCATTATGGGAGGATCCAGTTAATGGTACACATAGCATGCCTATTGATTGCAGATTCAATTTGTCTATTTTCAATGTGGGGATCTTGTAACTGTGCACAGATGCTATGGATTATATAATCATATGGTTTATCTTTTTGTTGCATCAATGTTCTAATTTCTAATTGTTCTTTAATTGTGCATCCATCCATATATAAGCTTTTTCCTGGATATCCAAATTGGATTATAACGTGACTTTTAATGTATATATATAGTGCAGATGTCACAAATGTTGCTTTTGTCTGACTATTATGTCATATAGACATCATTACATAAATGTTCAGTAGTTCTTAAGGTCACAGGTAACTGGATTTATTTCACTTCATATGGACACTTAGAATTTCTAGAAATAGCTATTTTTTTCTTGTAGTGATACAAGAAACACCTTTTTATACTACACACCTGTCTTATTCCTAGACAGCCTTCTTCAGTATGAATCCAAATAGCATCCTAGACAAATAAACACTCAATAGTGAACGTACAGGTACTGGACCAGGCAGAATATGGGCAGGCAAGTCAGGTTCTTCAAATCCAAGTCGGATGCTGATTCTCATGTCAGCATCCATGCAACATAAAAAAGAGGGGGTTGGAGTTATGTGTATACCATGTAGGACATAGGAAATCATGGACAGTTGGAACAGTCTCAAAAAATGCCAATGTCATGAAATTATTGCCAGCCTACATCTTACTAATACTATGACTATAGTACGCTGGGAACACCAATCTGAGATATATAAGCCACTGGTATTGGGATAACAAGGACAATGTATCATGTGAAAACTTAAAAACTCAAACATTAAACTGAGAGGAAATCATCCATTCAATCTTAAAATACAGAAAAGGTGGTAAGGTAGTCCTTAGAGTTTTTATCACAGAAATAATTAATTTACACCTTAACAATGTGACTACCCCTAGTCCATTCTGGGTTAAGAATTTATTATGTAGACAAACCAAATGAGATCTGAAGCAAAAATTGCCCAAGCACAGATGCATGGATCTTTCCAAGATGACTCAATATGTACAATATCTAAATCCAATATATGCCTAAGGGGATAACGAACCTTGTGAAACATGGTCGCAAGTACAAGGTACCATAAAATCAAGAGACAGCAATGAAGTGCAAATGACCAACACAAAAGTTGTGAAACATGCCAGCATGATTACAACTAATGAAGAAACAGCATAACTTGTGGCCAGATGCTTCGAGCTTCCTAGGGTTCATGCAGAGTAGCTGTCTTTCCAGAACCAATAACTAAGCATTATGAACTCCAAGTAGATATACACGTAGAGGTAAATAAACGTGCAAAGATAAGTGGAGTTTTTCCCTTAAAAGGTCACACAAAAGGGAATAACATTGGAATTTTATCTCAATCAGCACAAACATAGAGAATCCAATAAAACTTTGCAAACCCAAAAAATATTTCGAAAAATATTTCGTAGTTTGAACCTTACAATTCAAAAAGTAAGTAGCATGTAATACCATAAGCTGCTCCCAGACATAGGGAAATCTTTATCTTTGACAGTGGTGTGCAAGGCTTGCAGAAGACACTTGTCCAAAAGGGAATCTATCTCTTCAACACTGAGCGTCACTTGCTCCTTTTCATCATTAGGCGCTTCAGCAGGAGCAACAACAGATTCCATTACATTCAAACTACTCATATCTTCAGTTATATTGCTAGAAACTTTGTTTTTGGCATCAAAATGAACAGAGGCTATCTCATTCCCTTCTGAATGGACCTCTTGGAGATCCACTGATTGTCCTTCTTCTAAATCAACATTAACTGAATCATTTGAAGGATTTAAAAAATATTCACACGAAGCAGATGTTTGGCACATCTGCTGTAAAACAGGATCTTCCAAAACAACATCTTCTAGAAACCCTGCATTGGGCACATAATGATTTTCTGCTGATTCCCTGCAAGGAAAACCCCCCTAATTATAAGCTACGAAGGTAGGTAAATTTAATATTTAAGTTATTTTTTGGTAGGCACTTGTTCATTTTATAATAGAATGGTAAAAGAAAGAAAGTGGAATAATTAGAGTTAAATATAAAGATTTATCTATAGGCAAATCCAAAAATACCTACCATAGTAAGTCATGATAATAATGCATTATTCGCAAAGCCTTGCCACGCAAACCCGCTTTTAATGCTTCAGTGCTACTCATTGTGGTGGTTCCAACCTACAAAAGAAGTTACTGCTTCAAGCATCCAGTGAGAGGCCTGAAGAAGATTCATAATTCAACATGCATTTCTACATAGAAACCCAATATTTATCATATATTTGCAACCTGTAGCACGAGATACGATGGACTTACAGCAATAGGTGCAGCATTTCCCGGTACTTTTACAGCCCATGGTTGACCTGCCAAGAATGAAGGGAAACCCTCTTGTGGTATACTAATACCAGGAAACATTAAATCCGCCCCACCAATAATGAAGCGAGATACTTCACCGCCTTTGAGCATAAAAGAAGGCAGCAAGTCCGGGACTTTCCAAAGTGCGTAGACTGTGCCATTATCAAACAGTACAACTACCATCAATTGGGAAGGATGACAATAACTCAGCTGCTTTCACATGTTTTACCGCTTTTGGAGTCCCTTGCAAAACTAGCAAGCTACACATCAGGATAACTTTTTGCCCCATTGGGCTAGGTGAACTCATTACTATGCATTATCAACCAAGGAATTATCCTTCTTGAAGAAACCACAGAATTTTGTGCCTTATGGCAACATTAAAATAAATGATTTTGAACAACTAGGGAAAGAAACCTAGAAAATATTGTATATTTTTCAAATAATAAATTTAATCATTAAAAGGCAGAACAAATATATTAAAGCCCAAGTTCTCATGTTAGATGACATACATCAACAATCCATAATAACATGCGTCTGCTCAAGGTACTAGAAGGATAAGCTAGCCATATAAAAAGATGAGTTAAAAAGTCATTATTCTATAATGCACGAAGATGAAATATCAATGAAGGAGAATCTTGGCTATAAAAGGTTTTTAACAGAACATTTCAAGCAACATTTAGCATGGAGAAAATTAATGAACTTTCATAGGGAAAAACAAACCTGTAGGAAATATATCAGTGCCTCGCCCATCAACATCAAAGAGCACAGGGGGGCCTCCTTCTATTGCATAGGCATGAGCTCGGTTTGGATATTTTGCAACAGTTATTTCCGCCTACAACCAATACAAAGAAAAAATGAAAGGAAAAGATGAGAGCCACTGAATGGGAACAAGAACAAAAATTAAGTTACGACAAAGAGCATAAAGTACTCCAATAGAAGAAATTCGCAAAATCTACTGAAAATTTTCAATGTTTTCCTAAATCTGAACACCAAAACATTCATACATAAGAAATGTTAAGCAAAATTACAATATGCAATGGTTTCAAGTATTAAATTTTTTACTAGAAACAAAATTGAATACACAAAACAAATAAATATGGAGAAATACTATGATCAACCAGATGGCTATGCCAATGACCGTTCCAAGTATGCAAATAACAACGGAACTTCAAATATTGGCTTCAAAAATTAAAAGAGATATTGCAGTAGGTATGACCAAAATGATCAAGCTTCGTTATAAAAAGGATCATCTATATATCCTCAAAGAACAAGCTCCAATGTTTATACATATCCTCAAAATGTTATGTGTGTGTATATATGTCTAAATATCTGCATGTAAATTCCAGTGTAAGAGAAAGTCTCAATTTCCTCAGATCTTGCAAGTCTTTAGACTTGCTACTTGTTTTGGAGTCCATCAGGATATCAGACTATATCCTAGAAAATATGATCACATTTTTAAAATATGATCACTTTTTTAAATTTAATTTTAAAGGTGAATGAAGAAAAAATGCAACAGGCTTACGACACCAAGAATGTTTCTAACTTATCCTCGAGGAATATCAGGGGGGAGTGAAATAACAGGCCTAGACTTTAAAACCCAGCCAGCAGTCAGCTTGGCTTCCTTGCACATTCCACACTGAGAACATCACAGAGGCAACAATATCTAGAAACTCAACAGTAATGTATCCAATCCCCAATGAACAAGGGTCACATTCCATCCAATAGCATCAAATCAGTTCCCTACTACCCAGAACTTGAACTATGGCATGAATATTCGCAGTCCCCTTACCTTAGCAAAGCCTTTGCTTTTGCTTCCTTGTTGGCTACTTTGAATCCATGTAGATTGCTTAGTGTTCTAGCTTCTTCCATAATGGAAGATTGATACTTTGTTTGAACCCATGTAAGCTGTCTTGACACCACTAAAGTCATTTCCAAGTGAGAGTTTTGATAACTAAAGTCATTGTTGAGCATAATCAGACAAGAGGCACAATACAGTGTGCATATTACAACAACGGCAGAGAATCCTACATGCCTGGGACCATCCTCAAATCCAATTCTGGGCCATAACACACTCATTGGCATGACTGGGATCATCCTCAAAGCCAATTCTGGGCCATAACACACTCATTGCCCTCCAGTGTATGCTCAAAGGAGATCATCAAATCAATAATATTGCTTAAGATCCCAATATGCCTACAATCCCATGATCAGAATTCAGTTGCACGGACCTTGCACCCAGGCGTTGTTGCCACTTCCAACATTAATGCCCCCATGAGGATGTAGGTTTCCATATCCTCTCTCTACCCATTCCTGCTCATGCTTCCATAGACATTCTCTGGGTGTTCCAGTAACTGAGGACGAGGGTTCACCATGCCAAGCCATCTTATCATATTAAATGAGTCCCCAAAGAAAAGACTGGACAAAATCATGATGCCACTTGAAGGTTGTTTGAAGGGTTAAAATTCCCTTTAACCCATCTCCTAAGAGCTAATGGCGGCAGAAAACAATAGGCATATAAAGGCGCTTCTTTTGCTTCTGCTTCCAAGGAGCCTACAACCAATATAAGCCTTCTTGACATCACCAAACAATCCCTAATCAAACCCAACACAAAACACAGAATACCAAAGAAACAACCATCAAAATAAACTATTTTATAATATGAAGTGGCAGCATTTTGAGTAGACATATATATATTTGTGTCTCATCCTAACATACCCAAATTCTCTTGGATTTTGCTCGACTTACCAATCCTTTTCTTAAGAACCAGTCTTATGAACGTACACCTAACCTCTGTTCCTTGGTTCATTGATAACTTACAAAGAAATCATTGGTATTAAGTTGCAAGAAAATCCTCTCAAGGGGAAAATACAACATCAATCCTCCTCTAGAAATCTTAGATTATTTCTGAACATGAGTGGTGTGCTTAGCCATTCAAAAGGCTCGTTTGGATCAATTGAGCGGTTTTATGTATAACTTTTTTTTGACACATTTAGAAAGCCCGAACCTTTCAAAGTTCCATCCTTTGAAAGGAGCCACATAATTCCTTTCGTGACATTATCTACAATTATACTTTATAAATATAGAATCATTTGTTCTTTTTACTTTAAGTGTTTCTTCGAAACAAATTTATGCAACTATGACTTAATTGAGAAGGTTCTACCACTCCCTTCTCTCCTGTCTCTGTAGGATCTTTCATTTCCATCTTAGCTTCTTCACTTACCAAGTTTTGTAGTATGGCTACATTCTTGATAATGTCATTGCAGCCTCAATAAGGCAAGTACCACTCCTTCTTTCGTCTTTATTTTTTAGACTTAGTGACATTGAAAGGCCATAACAGTTTGTTGCACAGTAGGGACATAGTCATGGAGACTGTTTTATATCGCAACTTTACAAGAGCTGAGATGTATCATTGATAACACAAGTTCCAAGGGGATTTTTTTGGAGCAAAAATGACTGCAATATGTGATGTATCGTTACAAGATGCAGGCCGCTAAAAAAAGGGGACACAAATATAAATGAAAATATTCAAAAAGAAGAAGATTCCTATGTTAGTAGAAATAGCTCTAGAGGAAGACTACCCTCAACCAGCGGTAGGATAACGAGTTCCAGTGATTCAGCACACTCTTTAGCCAGAGCTTCCACCAAGTTGCTTATCTCCACACATGCCTAGCTCCAAGGGAATACAAGAGACTATGAAAGTAGGGTCTAGTCTCCAGTTTCCAGTTAGATTATAACCTTACAAGACCTAAGATAGATGCAATTACGAAGGTTCTGAAGACAAACAAGAGGCCATGAAATAAAAGCAAGTCCATGTATAGAGTTTCATTGTACAAAAATGGCCAAAGCGTGTCTAGCCAATATCTTCTTGAGAAATATGGGATTAAGTCCTTCCCATCATTTAATACATGGTTCATCCTTGATGCTCAACATATGCATGCACACAAATAAATTCCACCATTTCAGTGTATGCAATGGAGATTGGTAAGTATATCTACGTACACATAAATGTATCTACATGTTAGCAACCTCCGACTCCCAAAGAGAAAAAAATTTGCAGCAGAATATAAGGGAATGTAACCAAGATTTGTATGCATACGCTAGGAATTTCTCATTCAGGTGAAGAAACTAGAATTTTTCTTGGATGTGACAACCCATGGGACTGTTATTGAGCCATTTCTTTCCCTTCACCAGCTCCAAATGTTGCAGTTTTTTTCATTCCAGTGTCTAGTTTAAAATCATTAACCATCGCGGACGATAATAAACAACCATGAAGGTGATGATGGTGATGACAATAACAACAAAATCTGTGGTGGAGGTAGCTGAAGAGAAGGAATAATAATAATAACAGTCACAATAGTAATAGTACTAATAGCACTAACAATAAGAACAAAACTCCTAAAACTGTATGAAAATCAGAATCAGGTCTCATGCAAAATGATATGAAAAAAACCAAACACCGAAAAATTCATGAAAGTAGATTATGCTCTTACCTTTGGAGGCAAAATTGTATCGATATCAGCATCTGAGGCATGTGAAAACCTCTCCTTAATGGTCCTTTTGAGCTTCTTGCGATCGGCTCCAGACAAGCGCTGTTGTGCCTTTGCTTCACTCGATTTCTTGAACATTATGAGGAATCTGTCACAAAAGACCAAATAACACTGTAACACATGTATTGAGTCATTTTACTCATGAAAAGCTATAGCAAAAGCCTAAATGAGGCTCGAGATAACTCATAAGTTGATAACGAAAGGGTTAAGAAAAAGCCCAATAATCCTATGGTCACCACCCATATGTTGATTCATTTTACTCCATGAAATAGTATAGCTAAGGCCTAAATGATCCTGAGAATAAAATATGTATTGAGTCCTTACAGACATAACTATTCTGTGTGGCACAGTGTTTTAAAACTCCCAGGGGCCTCTAGGATCTCCCTTGGGAACTGGACAATTCCAGGCAGAAAAACCCCGGAGTTGCCAAAGTCTCCTGATTATAAGTACTTCCTTTTTTTTTTTTTATAAAAATTGTCGGCCTGAGGGCGAGGCAGACTGGGGGACTCAGGCTCGAGCCCCAGCCTAGTTGGAGCGCAAGCACAACTTTTTAAACACTGTGGAAAAACACAAAGATTAAATACATGTAGTTGCCATGGAGCCAATAAATGACAAATTTGACTAATGATTGTAAATATTTCAAATATACAGATTCAGAAAAAATACAAGCTTGGGTAGAAAATTTTCAAATGAAATAAAAAAATAAAAGTAAATTAGACCATGCAATTGCTGCAATGCAAATGAAGTACACTCCCTCGCTCCCTTGATCAAATACAGGTTAAGAAAATAGGGAAATATGTGCTTATTCAACAAAAAAAATAAAAATAGGGAAATATATGTGAATAGAAACTGCATACTGAAGTACCAGGATAAAGGAAATCATACATATCTGAGATATTCAAATAACACCGACAAATATAGAAAAAAGATGAACCACAAGGAAGCAGATGCATCAAATGCAGAATAAATGCAGTAAAACGACACATGAACAGTGGCTATTTCTTCATATTTGTTGTACATTTTGATTAAAGTAAAAATAAACTGCTAAAATGAGAACTAAAAAAGAAATTAAAACATGAAAATAAATTAAGCAGAAACTGCAAAATAATAAACAAATAAAACACAAAAAATCACAGTTGCTCTATAAACAATAAGATGACTGTTATTTAACAGCAAAAAAAAAGACAAAAAATGGCAAAAAAATGGAGCATGAGCAGGTGCTAATCAGACTAATAACGCAATATACAGAGAATAAATGTGGGAAGAATAAAAATTAAACAACCAATATATTTTGATTTCTACCTGAATACTGAAAAGACAAAATGGGGAAAAAACTCAGCTTGATTGTGTAAGAACTATGAAAAATAATTCATTTTTACCTGATTAATCAGATGTTTTATTTGTTAAGAGCAAACGATTAGAGGTCTCTGGAACTCCGTGAAAATGTAGGAAAGCCGCCGCCAAAAGTACTTCCGCTAAAAGAAAGCGGTGGCTATTTATACGAGCCAAAAGACTTCATACTCCCGCGGGAGTATATTGTTAGTTTATTCCAGGGCACGGTTTTCACGAGTCTCCCGAGTAATGCGTCCCCCTTAGCTATTTTTAAGATGGATTTTCGACCTGTTTTTTAGGAATATGTGGTTTTCAATATAGAGATTATTAATATGTAAAATAAAATAAATTTTAAAACTACAAATGATAAAATTTTGAGTAAAATTTTTAAACCCTTGGTTTTTATTTCTTGCATAAAATACTTTTCCCCGATTCTATTGGGTAAAAGACCCCAAGTTTTGGGAATTTGCAAATTGTGCTCTTAATATACTTGAAAAAATAATATCTTAATATTGAATAAATACCATCTAATTTTAGGACGGTGAGATCTAAGCATCAACAAACTCATAATTCAAATATTTTCTTTTGAATAAAATTATCCGGCTATTGTGGTTCTCAAATTTTCATATTATACAAAAATCATCTCAAGTAGGTTTTCTTACCAAGGGAATACAACCAGTTTACTCCTATCGGATATATATATACACTCACGAGGAGGATGTTGAGATGGATAAGTGGCAAAATAATAAATGATAAAATTCGAAATGAATACATTCAATAAAATTTAGGTGTGGAACCAATAGGTGATAAGATGATAGATAGTAGACTTAGGTGGGTTGGCCATGTGTGGTGCATACCCAGTACAACACTTGTTAGAATGTGTGAATTAGTTCGAGTTGAATAGTCAAAAAGGGCAATAAGTAAGCTCAAAATAACATGGTTAGAAGTAGTGAGAAAAATTAAGGGATTTATTGGGAAGCCCAAAATTGAAAGTAGTAAGAAAATATATAAGAACTTATAGAAGTAGTGAGAAAAATATATGAGGACTTAAGATTTTACTAAAAGTATAATTTTTAATAAAACAAAATAACGGACCAGGATTCATGGAGTCACCTTCAATTAATTGAAAAAATAATTTGATGATGATATATATGTACACCCACCAATATTGTAGCTTATAGTTCCCATGATAATTATATCATCAAAATACTGCAGCGAGCATACTATGCTCCCATGGGTGCACGATGTGTACCTATACTAGCATAGAGCTATTAGGGTGGACTTTTTCAATCTGAAATTCTGGAATGCACGTAAGAATCACCAAATAGATCATCCTAAAAGATAAATATGGATTTTAAGTTCTTCAACAATTATATTTCACCTTCTAAAAATTTGATGGCCTTTTTAATCTTGGGGCATTGTTTTTCAAGCACAAATTACAATTTGCATATTTGGAAATTTAGCAAATTTTTCACCAGAGATTAATGAATTAACATCCTACCCATATGTTTTGATTTATTTTTAAATACCCATAAAAATCACATCAAGTTAGAATGGCTGCAAATGAATAGAATGCATTTCACCCCTTACGGGTGAATTGATGAATTTCCCTTGCATATTTCTTTTGACCTTAGTAATTGGGTTAAAGAGATAGGGTCCTGAAAATTTATAATCATAAAATACGCTTAAATTAAGTTTAATGGAGAGAATAAAACCAATTTGTGCAGATAGTGGAATTTTTTAATATGCTCTACAAGGCATTACTGGTATTCACTCAAAAAATAATAAGAGAAACTTAAGGGATTCGAATCCTCCACTTCCATATCTCGGACTGATTAATGTGCCGAAGATTGTTGGGATAAGGCTTGGATGATAATGATATCGTGTTGACTTCAGATTTTCAATTTTCTAAATAAGTGTAAAATTAAAAAAAAATAAGAGTGATAGAAGAGATATGCACAATAAATCTTACGTCGCTTTTGATTTCAAATTTTTAATATTCAAAGTGAAAAATCAACTAAAAAATATCACTCGTGACTTTGGATTTTCAATCTTTTGAGTGATGGTAAAATTGAAAAAAATAAAAATAATACATAGAATAGAGGTGCATAATAATATACAAAAAATTAGAGAGATTTTTGTAATTACAACTTTAAATAAGAAATACATGTGTAATTCTCATGTAACTTCTAGATAAGGAGCACAATGGTAAATTGGCAGCATATAAGGGCTACAATGGTAATCTTTATATTTCAGGAAAGTGGACGATGTTGGTTACACGATGGGAGCCGCATTTGGAACATCTGAGCCGTCCGTAGAAGCCGTCGCCCACTACCAAGGAAGGGCATAATAGTAAATAGCACGTGTCCATGCACGAAGTTGTCTAATGAGGGCCAGTCTCCAAAGGGACACAATACTAACAGCCACGAGATTTCCTGCTCCCTCGGGAGTATATTGTCGTATGTTTGGAAGAAGAAAATGCTCACATAAAGGTTAAACAAGGCTCAAAAACCCATTAGGGAAAGTTATTACTAGGCCACAAAAACATCCAATTCATCTCTCTATTTCGAGATAAACTATGCTACTTTTTAGGTTTAAAATTTCATAGTTAAGGGTGACAATAGATTTTTATGCGTAAAGCTTTTTGGTATCAAAATTACATCTTTGGACATAATTTAAAGGTATGCCTCGTTTTAATTTGTTCTAGATTGGGAATTGTCAATGTGGAGCATGACTCAATCCCTATCGATTGAGTTCCTTATTGGAATCAGGAACCAGTCTGACTTTGATGGATTGGCCTGGTTCTATCACGGAATGGGTGATAGAACCAAACCAAATCTGTAGAGGAACCAACCCATCTGGATCGGCCAAACCATCGGCTCCCATCCATTGTTATTTTTTATTATTTTCTTGTTCTAATTATTGTAAAATTTCATTTGTATTATGGAATGACTCTTACACTTGAGAATTTGTCATCTTTTGTTGAAGCACGTCCAGTTTTTTAAACAAAACATTATCTCTCTCCCTCTCTTATATAAATAATGTCCTACAAAATTAACAATTTAATTTGCAAAAGAAAATAAAAAATAAACTATTCAAATATTATTTGCACTATTATTTTAACCTCTTTCAAATTTTAAAATTTAGATGACAAATTTTCAATTATTTATTTCGCAACAACAAATCATCATCATCATAGCATTTTTTCCAACAAATTGAGGTTAGCTATATGAATTATGGTTCGGGTTATATTCTCAATGACACCATAAGTCTCATATATTTTTTCACTACATCCAACCATGTCATTTTGGGCCTACCCCTTGCTCTTTTTAGTCCTTTCACTTGAATTGCCTTCCACTCGAATTGCCTTCCACTTGAATTAACTTGCACATCCTAATAGGTATTGTGCTAGGTCTGTGCCACACATGGCTAGGCCACCTAAGTTTACTTTATCTTATCTTATCGCTTGTTAGTGTTATACCTAAATTATCCTTATTGTATTCATTTTAAATTATATCCCTTATTATCTTGCCACTCATCCATCTCGACTACACTCATCCTATGGCCATATTATTTATTGATCGCGCAACATTTGATATTGTAAAAGCCAATGTTCAAAACAACGGGTCGTGCCGATTAGTCGGTCCTGGCCCGATCCGATTAATCCAACAGATTCCGACTAGATCGGTCAATTAGTGCCTCGAATTTTTTTTTAAATATGCAAATTTGGTAAAAAATCCTAAAAGAATCCCAAAAAATCCCAAACAATATATAAAATTTTGTAAAAAAAATATTAAAAGTTTACATATATTGGTTTTTTTGTTGTAACATAAAAAAAACAAACAAATAAATATTATAAGCATAAATGGGTTTTAGAGAAATCGATTAGGCACCTAAAGCAATACTTTTTCAATGATCAATATATATTTAATATACTAATATTATATATTATATGTAATATGTAATCATATATAATATATAACATAGTATGATATAATAATATAAAATAGTATAATATTTCATCTCAATACCATATATATATTTTTAGGTGTTTTGGAATTCAATTAAAAATGGGTGTGGTTTGTATAATGTTGTAAGCTAAAACAATCCAATTAAGGCGCGCCTCCAAATTTCATCACAACATGTAATTTTGGTGTAAAAAATTATTAGGATTATCTGAAAATATATTTTCATCTCTAATTATAAAAAATTTAAACTCAAAAAATGGTTAAAATCAAGTAGTGCATACAAAAATATTTGAAATAGATGGTCTAGATAATGTGTTGCAAGATGCACTGTTTATGGAACTCAAAATCTCTTTATTTGTTCATATTCGTATATCTCAATGTCAAAATGATCAATTAGATAGTTTTCAACATTAAAACAACCTTTTTCGATGGATTTTGAGTTGCATCTTTGTTCTACATTTTAAGGTTGCACCCTTATATAAACTTTTTCCATTAATAATATAGGTAAAGTATAAAATCGATTGTCTCTTTGTGATAATTTTGATAAATTTCCCTCTCTCTCTCATATATCTGTGTTATGTGTCTATGTGCCCCTCGAGGGTTGGTGGTGTAGGTATTAGATTGGAGTTCAAATAAGATGAACAATGAATAAATTTTATATCTCCCAAGTTGAGGGACTCATGGGCTTGGCACCTTGTCGCACCCGACCAACTCGCCCAATGCGACAAACCCTGTAGTTAGCAAATAAAGAATTTGTAATAATATATAAGGTTTTTAAAAGATAAATAAAATAATAGGGAAAAGAGAAAAATAATAAAATATATAAAAAATGTTATAAGGACATATTTGTAGACTCCGCACTATGACAGTGCACTAATCGGCTGATTTTAAAAAAAATCAGCCGATATTTTAAACACTGGTATAGGCATAGTTGGTCTCACAATTGTCTTATAAAAACTTGCCCTTTAGCTTCGTTGGTATGTGGCGGTCACGTAAAAACCAGGTTGCACATCTCCACTTCGCCAATCCAACTTTAATTTCACATGTGACATTTTGGCAACAATAAATAACTTTTTTAAAATTAAAAGACAAGATGCATTTAAGGTTTTTCAAAAATTTATTAAATAAAAATATTTTAATATTAAAAGTTTGCTACTCTTTGAGATATAGTGTCACTAACTAGAAAGTGATATTTTCTTTAATTTTTTTCTTTTCAAATTTTAATCTTCAAAATGTTGTATGCCATTATCAAGTAAGGTTATTATCGAGAGAATACTACGGAGGTTCATATTACTGCTATAAAGTCATTCAGAAAATAAAGATAGTTGGGAAAATATCGTACCCCATATTTTTTGTTTTCATATCTCAATAGATCAAAAGATTTAAAATATATCTCCTAACCCCCTAACTAACTTTACCCACTTTTAACTATTTTTTTAACCCTATCAAATATAAAAAAGACATACTCATTCTAACCCATCATCTCTTTACGTGATATGTTCCCCTCAAATTTCTCTCTCTAACGGTCACCCTCCTTGTATCTCTAATGGGGGAGAGAGAGAGTGAGAGACACAAGAGGAGAGAGGGGAAATTGGTAGAGAGATTTAGGGAAAATTTATGTAAAGAGAGAGAAATAATGGTGTGTAAAAAGGATATGTTCTTTTTACATTTGTTTGGGGAAAAAAAATAAGTTTAAAGCGGATAAAATTAGCTTAGAGGGTTAAAAGATATAAAACTTATAATTTTTATGACCCATTATATGTTTTGAAACCTTGTGTTTATTGAGATATAAAACTTAAAAATTGGCGGTATAGAGATATTTTTCCAAGATAATTTCAAGTTATGGGCTGCCATTTTTACCGAAGTGTAAATTATTGGAAATGGATAATATTTAAAAATATTAAAAAAATAAAGGAGTATTTATGCTAAATTTTCCCTACAAATAATGATTTGGAGTTTTTATGGCATGTTGATGAATGTTTCAATCTCAAATCTCCCATTCCGATCATGGGAGTCCAACTCAAACCAAAAAAAATTGCTTGGTTCTTGAACATGATCTGAACTACATTGGGCTAATTTGAAGTCTACCTAGGGATTTTTCAATATCTTATATATAACCTGAGCTAACTTGGGACAATTTTGAAAAATATGTTACAAGATGCACTGTTTTCAAAATTTGAAATCCATTTTTTTTCTCATGGCCATGGATATTAATGTCGAAATGATCAATATGAGGAATTTTGAGCATCAAAACAACCTCTTCTAAGTAAAATTTATGAGGTGGGCTCTAATTTGATTGTTTCATCCTTTAGATACCTTTCCAAAAAGAAGAAACCTAATGCGAGGTTAAGGCCAAGCACGGGCTGTCCTCGACTAGAACCAATATAGGACCAACTTAGGTCACTTCACGGACTGGCCCGGGTTGAGCCACTTAGTCACAATCGAGGCCGCTGTGGTGTAGGTCCCGAAGCCAAATGTGTATTCAGATAATCATCATTTGGGCGTTGACTACATGAATTTTGTTATGCTATTATTGGATCAAGATTTGTGATAGAGATGCAGCAAAAGTTTGCTGCTCAAATTTAACACAATCCTTCTCTAGGGGTGGCAACGGTTTGGGGCTGGACCAGGACCCAGTCACGAAAATATATTATGGGACCTAGACTTGAACCCAAACCCCACCGGAAAAAAAATGTGGGGGCTAGACCTGACCCCTACTAGACCCGACCCAAAAATAAAATTATCTATATATTTAAATATATTTCATAAAGTGGGACCTAAAAATATATTATGGGCCCCGACCAAGACCCAGACCCAAACCCGAATAGTATTTGGGTTTAAGATTTGGACCCGAACCACTGGGTCCTATTTTTGAACCTAGACCTGGACACGAGTTGTGTTTACCCCGTTGGGTTTAGGTCCATTGGCACCCTGTCCTTGTACTTTTTTTGACAAATACACAAGCCTCCTTCTAGGGGTGGCAACAGATCCGGTTGGACCCGGACCCAAATGGTATCCGGGTCCGTGTTTTGGACCTGGACTCAGAGAGTTGGGTAAAAAAATTAGACCCATACCCATACCCATATTTGTCGGGTCCAAGTCTATCCATAGGTCAATTCCCATCATATGACTATGAGCTTCTTTTTTATTTTTTTTACCTTGTCTTTTACAATCATATATCTATTTTTTATTTGGCAACAAGGTCACAATCACTCACCATTAAATTTAAAGCCATCTTATTTGTTGTCTAGTAGATAAAGATAATTACGAGCTCTTTTTGCATACGATTCTTCATACGTCCAAATGAATGAGGCTTAAAGTAAAATATTTTATTTTCAATAGTTTACGGGTAAGGGTCAGGTTCGGCTTAATGCACCCAAATGAATAGGGCTTAAAGTAAAATATTTTATTTCCAATGGTTAACGGGTAAGGGTCGGGTCCAACTGGACCCAGACCCAAATACGACCAATAAAGTCAAAAAATCGGACTCATATATGAACCCGAAGTCAGGTCTACCCGTCGAGTCTTGGGTCTGGTTGGGTCAATTGCTACCCCTACCTCCTCCTTTATCGGGGCTTGGAATTAGCAATTGCGGAATTTCTCATGTGGGACTAAATGTACAAATTTGGCTCTACGGGACCACTAATGGTTTCCCGAGTGCCACTTTCCAAATTTCAGGTAAAAGTAGTTCCAATTGCTTTCGTAGAAGGATCTCAGTGCCATAGGTTCTAAACTTGTACGGATTTATATTTTCCCCAATATAAATACCGCTCCTCGGCTTTCTCTTCTCTCTCAATTTCTCTCTAAATTTTTCCCTCGCTTTCTGGTGGGTGTTCTTCGACTTTGTTTCAGAGCCATGAAACCTAACAAGATAACCTTCAAAGAGACGCAGGCTTTAATGGCGCTGCTCTCTGTTGAGAAGCCCTTAAATGAGATCGTCTCAGACTTCATCGCCACTTTCCAAGAAGACAGATACCTTGTCATATGTGGTGCGCTCGCCATAATGCTCGAGGTGATTCAGAGCTCTGAACTTTTAGGGTTTATTGCTCCCTTGTTCATCTCATCTCTCTCTTTCTATATCTTCCCTCTCTCTCTCTCTCTCTCTCTCTCTCTCTCTCT